TTGAGAAGTCACAGGTGCGATGGCTTGGGCATGTGTTGCGAATGCCTCCAGAAAGGAAGGCTAAGCAACTATTTCTTGCAAATTCGACCGGCAGAAGACCCAGGTGACGGCCAAGATTAACCTGGTGCAAATATACGGAAGGAGTCTGTTTCAGACTCCATTTGTCTTTTGCCGAAGCTCAGACTCTGGCACAGGATCGGGAACGTTGGAAGCTCTGTCTGACGTGTCTGCCTCTGCGACCCGAAAGGAAAAGCCTCGATGGAAGATGAAGACGCGCGCACGTTGGGTCTGTAAACTACGAGTACCAATCACAACATTCGCTCAAATTTGCATCATCCAAAGGTAAGAATTATAAAATTATAACACTTAACAAATGAATGTTGGTCATACCTTCAAGTAAATCTCGAGAGGCACTTTGTTCCGTTTCAGAGCCTCTCCTAGACAATAAATAGTATCTTCAGCAGCACAGTCTTCGCAGTAGCACCTCAGTAACCTAAAACCAGCTTGTTACTTAAGAAACGAGCGTAAACAGGCACTGACAGAATGGAATATTGAATAGACGCCCTCTGCAAATGATATCAAACAGCATTAATGATTTACTGGTTAATTCAGGGTAGATGACTCCTGTCGAAGAGGTAATAAAAATGAAATGATAAAAACTAGAATAACACGTCGAACAGAGACCCTTCGACGTTTGTGCAACTGTTCGAGCAACTCTTCCAGCCAGTGCATAACCTGCTGCGAAATTCAGCATAAATAGCAGCTGCACGAATTCTACTGACTTTCAATGCTAAGTGCGGCGGGTTCAAATACATGAATGATACGATTTAAAAATTAAAAATTTTGCGGTACGTTATAGAAAATAGTTCTCTAAGAAAGGCAAGTTTTCCCAAAGCTGACTGCAACTGACAGCGTTGAAACAACATTTCCGCCACTACAAATAAGATTACGTCCTTCGGCTACTACAGTGACACCTATAGACATTAACTGGCTCCATCCATTCATCGGTTTCATGAATGATTAAAAGGAGTACCACCAACTGTACGTGAGCATAAGAAAATGCAGATGAAAAACTTAGCTGATTTAACAACTATGGCACTCTGAAGAAATTAACTTACTATATGTTATGCCATATGCATTTCTTTCATGATTGGCTAGGATGTACCCCTGTGGCTGTCTACTTGTGCAACTTAAATAAATCGCTTTGAATTGAATAACAGCATAGTCGTGCAGGCAGTGGAAAACGAATCGGATGCATACGCGCATCGCTAATAATCGACCCGCACCAGCGTAAAATGGGAAATGGGGAAGGAGGTATGAAGTAATGTCCCGATCAAGTTCTTTGTTCGTCTGACAAAGTTTCGTTTCGTCTGGCTGGAAAGTTTCAAGCATAAAGAATAATTCATAAAATAGATATCTGAGTAATTCATATGTGAGAAATCCATGTTTTATCTTAACAGTAAAGCTTATTGAAAGCAAAAGTTCACACTTTACCGAAAATAACGTCAATTTCGTAAACTTACTGCCTGTACAAAGGAGCAGTCGTATCGATGGTCTCGTCAATACTGACGTCCTCATCTTTCGTTATATTTCCTATGTGCTGGCCAATCTCCTTCAGATGCGACTCGAAGTAAGTGACCGAGTTATCAAGCTGTGTTTGCTCCATTTCCATTCGCATCAAAATGTCCTGGAGTTTCTGCTGTCCTTCAAGTAGCTCTTCCTTCATACCTTTGACTGATTGCAGTTCAGCCTAAAAATCAAATGGTTTATTTGCCGCAGAAAAATTTACATTAAGACTAACAGGCTTGACATCGTTACCAATATGACTGCACCGTCAATTCCATT